TGGCAATAGTTGTGTTAATAGTTTTCTAGATTTTAGAAGTTATTTTGTTAAAGTTGTAATACAGATAGTGAACAAAATATTGTGGACACTTAAAAAAAATTTTTTTAAAAAATTGTACTTAATAATTTTTTTTTATAATAAAATTTTAAATATATAATTAAAACAATATATTTATTTAATATCAATATTTTGTTGATCCTCTTTCAGCTGCAATACAAGCTGTAATTCATCATGACATACTTGCGATCAACCACTGATACATCAGTGGAGATATGTTATTTCATTATTTTTGAACAATCTGATCCAAATCAGAAAGACTTGCCGGTTTAGCTTTAAAAATCTATTGTTTAATAATATGTCATAGGTTCTCAATTGGGTTAAGATCTGAACTTTGAGATGGCCAGTCCATAACCTGAATTTTATTAGAGTTAAGAAATGCTGTAGTAATCTTTGCGATGTGTGGGGTTGCGTTGTCGTGCTGAAAAATGGAATGGCCGCTGTAAGACCAGTTAGGGATAATATCAATTTTCAGTAAGAGATGTTTTTTAAGTATGTCAACATAAGATACCGCTGTAAAAGAAAAAGAAAAAAAAATAAATTTCGATTTCATTATTCGTTTTTTCATTTTTGTTTTCGTCTTCATTTTCATTTTCATTTCCCGTTCCTTTTTTTTTTTTTTCTTTTTTATCACATGTATACTATTTTTTGTTCTTTCTTCCTCTCCCACTTGTCCCGATCCTTTTTTCCTTATCCCTCATCCACTTTGTCACCACCTCCTTTTATCTATTTTTTTATATACTATTTACTAATTTATATAAAGGAACAAGAGGGCCAACCCTGAACCAGGAAAAACACCTCCAATGCATTCAACTTGGGTTGTATTTGATGGTGGTGATCAAACAATCAAGATTCCATTTTTCTCCTGGTTCACGCCAGACTTGGCAGTTTTGTGCTTGCTAAAATTGGGTAAACATAGATTTGTTACTCCATAATATTCTTTTAAAATCTTTTGCAGTCCATCTTTCGTGGTCACGGCACTAGGCAAGACATTTCACGAGATTATTGCTTGAGATGAGTGATTTTTTACGGGTGATGCAACTTATTAGCTGCTCCTTATGAAGAGCATGACAAATGATCTTTTCTGATACTTTTTTTTTTGTGTGATTATAATAGAGAAAATTCAATTTAGCAACGCATAAATGCCAATTTTCGATAGCAAGCTTTTTAAAAATGTCACAGTCAACAATTAATGATTGTCCAGTTCTTTTTGCTCATGATATTGCTGATTTGGTTTTTAGAAACTTGTTAATCATTAAAACCTATTACAGATTTTTTGCAACCAACCTAATCTGTAATAGTATAGTAGGAATCTTTATTTTTATAGCCATAAATTATGGTTTCTTTTTGTGCATCAGTTAGATCTCTTTTAATATTCATATAAAAATAAAAAAGTGGTTATCACAAAAAAACCAGGAAAAAGAAAAACATCAATAAAATTTTTTTACAATAATAAATTTATTTATTTATAATTTTTTTTTTATTATTTAACATGTAATAAATATACTATAAAAAATTTTAATTAATCTTATTAAGTCTAATTTTTTAAAAAAAATTTTTTTCAAGTGTTCACAATATTTTATCTGCCATTTGTAGTTAGAGTTCCGAAAAAGTATCAAACTGGTATCGAACTGGTATCGAAATAGTATCAATCTATAGTAAATTTAATATATGGGTTGTAACCTACTCATATGTTTTTATAGTAAATTTAAATATTGAACTGGTATTGAAGTAGTATCAAAGTGATATCATTAGGAGTCCTATTTGTAGTATTTCTACATTGGTATTGACTACTATATTACTGGATACTGTGAGATACAACTTCCTGAAAGTTCAGATAACAATAGTTATACAGTAGCTTCTTAAATATATCTAGTCTAACTATTAATAAGTAAACAATGCTGGATATAGAAATGATAATTATGCTGATTTTTTAAAGAGTGTAAATTATTTGTTCTTTTTTAAAAAAAAATCATGAAAGAGAGAAAATTTTCCAAAGCCTATATTTTGAGAGAAGTTATTGCTTCTTGATTGATTTTTGAGAAAAAGAAGTCAACAGACCAGAGGAATGATAAAATGAAGAGTGATATTTTTAAAAAAGGAGAAACTTAGAGAAAAAAAACTTTAAAGGAAAGGAAAAACCTAGCTTCAGCAAGAGGAAAAAAAAAGAGAAAGGAGAAAGAATATAATATAAATAAAGGTTTGTAGAAAAGAGGAGAAAAATAGGGAAGGAAGAAGAAAAGTATAGAAAAAAGAAGAAAGGAGAAGAAAGAAAAAGAGAAGGAAAAACAAAAAAAAAATAAATAACTTAAAAGTTTTCTAAAAAAAAATTTTCAAGTGCAAAAAAGGTGAATGGAAAAGAGTTTTTTTATCTTATAGTTTTTTTTTATTTTAGATTTTTTAATTATATATATTAATCTTTTATACTATAAGAATTATATTTAAAATTTTCAAAATTAGAATTATTCACTTAATTTAAATCAAGCAAAGGTAAAAGTAAGCATCTTTATATATTATGTTCTTTATTAACTTTACTTTTTCAACTATCATTTTCTTCTTCTCTTCAATCAATATTACTTGTAAAAGATAACTTGAATTCAAATATATTATTTATATTATGAAATTATTTTCGAATAGTCTTTTTGCATTTATTAATAGACATAAAAATAATAAATAAATTAAATTAGCTTATTATATATATTTATATATATGCTTACTTAAGAATCATATAAGCAAATAATATTCAAAATATATATATATATTTTCAATAACTAGTATACATCTTGTTTTATTAGACATAAATTTATAATACATGTATTTTTCTCTTTATGGGAATTAACTATTACCTATCTATCTAATGAAACTACCTAGAGAAAGTTCTTATGACTTTATTTACCGGTCAGCTTATTGCCCTTCATTCTTACTATATTATCAATACCGGAGCCCTGATAGTATAGATAGAGTGTTAATGTGCCAGGATGTGTGCCTTCCAGTCTTATCCACCATCCGATGAATAAAAACTCAAAGAATTGTATCCTAATAAGATTAGCCATGGACTAGCCATATTTAACAAGAAGTCTTTGTGGCTTTAGCTTGGTTTCTTGAAAAATCGGATTGTTTCTTTTATAGTCTTGTGGACTAAAAGGTAAGAAAGCATGCTCCATATATGAGAAATAAAAAAAGCATCAAACTTGATAATGATCATCATAACACTACCAGACAATTATTATGCCGCTACACCTTTCTTAATATCACAATCTTAATATCTGTTGAATCAACGTATGAATTGACTTCTTATAAGAAACAGTGTATATTAGGTTATAGTGCCAAATATCATATTGAAATGGTCCAATTGCCTTTACTTAGAACTGAACTTGATATCTTGTAATAGCAATCAAAAGATATCAATTCTTCCTTCTGGTTTTGAAATTTCACATTAGCTTCTTAAAGGATTTGAACCATTATCTTATAATCTGATCTGTGAAGCACTAACCACTGTGCTATAGATTTACAGATCCATAATATCCAAAATATTAAAATATAAAAAAATTATTAAAAATTATAATAAACTTTAAAAACTATTAAAAAATATAATTTAATTTATAAAAAAAAACAAAATCATAAAATTAATAAAGAAAGAATTAAAAAATAAATCTTATAGTTTTTTTATTATTATTTTATCTTATATTATTATTATTATTATTATTTTTTAAAAGGAACAGGCGATTCTCACACTTTTGTTTTTATTATAATATTTAGACTTGTGAATTACAAGATTTATAACATACTAGTGTAATATGCATCTCTCTTTACCAGGAAGAGTTTAATGCCGGGCTCCATATGGGCCCCTTTACCTAAGCTCCTTAACACCACTCAAGAATATATATCTTATATTATTATATTATTATAATTTAAAAATTATTATTATTTGTAATTATTTAAGATGATATGCACTATATCTTTATTAATATTACTTGACAAAATATATGATTTTAAAATTTTTTTTTAATATTTATCATATAATTACTATAAACAAGCTAGCATTTATAATAGTTTATTATATTAATATATAAAAAATATTATTTTTTTATAATATCTGTCTTGTAATATACAAATAAATAATAAAATAACATTAAAAAAAAAACAAAATACATTTAATTTAATCTGATCGAATTTAAAATTTTAAAATCCATTTAATTTGAATTTTATTAAATCAAAAATTTTAAAAATTAAACTGATTTGATTTGAATCAAAATCAAAACTATGTTTATAAATTACAATTTATTATAATTTATTGAATATTTTATTCTAAAAATTTTTATTACAATTTGTAAATAAAAATAAATAAAACAAAATATTTTGTAAAATTGGTTTCTTTAACTGTTCATTATTTAACTTCACAATATGGTGGTTCAGAACGGCTGTTGCAAGCCGCGGGCTTTTCTAATCATTAAAATCAGAAGAAAATACCCGCATCTTTCATCATTGGAGATTTACTGCGTAGCTAAAGCTACGACAGGTAAAGTCACCTACTTGAGAAGTGGCGATCTGATTTGCAGATGAAAACTATAATAAATATATTTGTAAATTATGGGATTAACATGAAAATCATTTTAATACGAAATTTGATTTATTTTTTTATTTAAAATCATATTAACGATTAATTAGATGCGGTTTTTAAATATTTGTACATGTTTTTGAATTCTATATGAATAGACTAAATACTTGGTATTGAGGACAAAAAATGTCTATAATATTATACACAAAATTTCATGGAAGATAGTCCTCTTCGTGTTGATGGTAAGCTCCATGATTCAATAGTACTTGATGCGCGTTCCAAGGTCTTAATATGCCGAAACATCGATAAGACAGGAAGAATCGTTCGCAATATGATTGCGCGTAAAATGTACACGGTTGCGACCAACGACAGGTAAAAAACGATTTCACGGATTTATTTCACCAAATTGAGATTGCACATCAGGCAAGCCAGCGTCGCCATCAAACCCTATACCTTTTACGCGTTTTTTTCTACTCCATGCACCATCCCCGTACAATCCGTCCCATTTTCTCAACTCGGTCAAACTTGACATGTCTTCCGAGCAGGAAGGCGTCACCTGTTTGAGCGCTAGTTGGAAATGGTAATTTTTCAAAATCCTGACAGACGACGGCTTATCAACGCCATTGGCAACCCCCTTTGCTATCGTATTTTTACCATTGTCATTGGTATTGTTGATTTGCTCTTTCTCCGCATCTTCTCTCACTGCAGCCAATGCAGCACTTATACATAAGTTTTTCAAATCCGATCCCGAATAAAATTTTGTTATTTTGGCAAGTTCAGATAAGTTTATCAGCGAATCAAGTTTCTCTTCACGGAGATGCAAATGGAGAATCTGTTCACGATCTTTTTCGTTGGGCAGATCGACTAAAATAAACCTCACCGTGAACACATAACCATTTAAAAATTAAGATGAATAATAATGTTTTATATAAAATACCTAATATGCGCCTCGGCATTCTCCTTAGAATTGCATCATCCAAGTCAAATGGTCTGTTGGTCGCTCCCATTATTAATACACCTTCATTACGAGATGTTAGGCCATCCCACTCCGCCATAAATTGATTGATGATCTCCCGATGTGCACCGTTATGTATATCCGAGCGCCTGGAACCGAAAATGGCATCGAGCTCGTCCAAAAATATTACGCACGGTGATAACTTATGCGCAAGAGAAAATATTGCCTATAATCGTTGATAAAATAATAATAATAATAATTAAGAGATGCATTTTCAACAGCGTAATTCGGTAAAGCTCATCTAGGACATTAATCCATACCCTAACATTCTTCTCACCTTCACCAACGTACATATCATACACATCGCTAGACTTAATCTCAATCACTGTACTACCACTTTCTTTGGCTACGGCTTTTGCCAGCATCGTTTTACCGGTCCCCGGCGGTCCAAATAGTAACACACCGGAAATAAAATGCTTACGCAAAACACCATAAGAAAACGACTGAGGTCGCATTAATGGTAGAGTAATCAATGTTTGGAGAGTCTGTATCGTAGATTGTGCTACGTGTATATCAGAGAATGCTACATTTATATTCTCTATAACCAGATGAACAGAAAGTCTCGTTAAATTTACTTCTCAGAAAAGAATCGCAACATATTCTCAAAAGTACCTGGATCAACAACGCATCCCAATAATTTTTTTTCGTATTTATCGAGATCCTCTTTCTTCATATTTTTACGATTTGGTAAAATTATTTTGCCATCACCGATGCCCACAACGCTAACCAACTTTTCAGGACCTTTGTTTCCTTCATCACTGTTGGTTGTAACAGAATCCACAAAATCCTTCCGTAGCCTTTTATTATTCTTCAAGGTTTGCGAAGCTTGGATAAAATGTTCAGCCTCCAAATATACTGGACCATTGTGGGACGAAATATCCAGACCTTCGAGAGATACACCAATAGCATTCGTTACCAGCCTGTGAACGCGCTCAAATCCCCAAACCTCACTATCTAACCCTTCCAATTTCATAAGAAGCTTCCCAAGTTCTTTAATGTTAGAGGTTTTAAAATACGCTCCTTTACTTGCGCAAACAGCTTTTAGAGTGCGAACGTTAATGTGTCTTATGGCAACATTCTTATCTTCTGAAATCATGGTATGCAAAAGTTGTGCCAATTTTGGTGATGATGGAGGAGGAATGGCTATATGTGTGAAAGCCGAAAACATTGCTACATTAGGAAGTATCTCAACGTTAATCCACTGAACTTCGTTGGGCATGGCATTATTCAAAAAGAGCTTCTTTTCTAAGGCAAACAATGAAGGAGAATATCCAGCAATTATCATGACTTGATCGCCAGCATATCGTTGATTTTGCACGGCTTCGACAAGGCCATTAATCAGTGCTGTGCCAAACGTAGTCGGAATTAAATCTCCAATATCTCGGAAATAAATGATCTTTGGCGGGGGTGCTTTGCCGGGAGAGGTAGATGCAGATGTAAGAGACGTTGAAACCAATGCCTCAAAAAATCGATCAATTTTTTCGAGAATAATCTTCATCTCTGAACGCATGGATCCATTTGCTTGGGATGAATTATATTGAAAATTGTCAATTAAATTCTTATTTTCGTAACCAGAATTACGGGACGAGTCGTAGCTCTCCTCTTCGTCTATGAAAACATCATCTTCTATCTCGTCCTCTGAAGGAAATGAAGCCGTGGAATATGGTGACGCAGAAATGTATGGATTGAACCCTTTCAATTCCGGAAATAGGGGCCATGGATTTACTGTTTAATTTTAATATGTTTAATTGGGCTTCAACATGGCTAGTTCGTTTTCATGGCTATATTAATTCCTTCAGAACCAAATAAATGATATCTCACCATTGCCCTTCCGTGAGAACATACTCGCGGTCAGTTCCATCAAATCTTGTCGATCAAAAGTTAGCAAGTCGGCACGTAAAGATGCCGCAACACTCTTTACAATGGAATCCAAGTAATAAGATGCGCCTTCAATCGGGAAATGCAATAATAAATGGCCACGTCGTGGAGGGACCCCGTCTCCTTTGGGAATTGGGAGTAAATTTGTTCGTGCACTATATAAAATTTCATCGCGTATACCATCTTCCAGAGGATACCTCATTGATGCGAAAGAATGGTTATTATCTTGAAATGCCAAGTAATTTTCATTGAGAAATAATTGGGGTATCACAGGCTTGTAGGGATTTGCCTGTTTCGTTGCGCGTGCGCGAGTACGAGGCACTGAACGTTTGCGTCTAGATGCCCGCAAGATGTATTCCGAAACATGGTCTGTTGAGTTAGTTTCAGGAGAGGATATCGTTTGATTATCTTCCGAAGGTTGGTTACCTTCAGTCTCTTCTTGTGAAGTGGGCTGTGCATCTTTAGCGGAGCTTGGAGGAGTGGAAGTTAAATTATTATCTTTTGTGGGTTTCAATGGAGAGTTATTACTGTTGGGTAAATCATTTGGTGTGTTCGCAAAGGAGCTTGTAGTTGTACTATGAAAGGGACGAATCTTTGGTGCACGCGTGCAAAGCTTGAAGGAACATACTCTTCTCGAACGGGCTGTTGTGAAAGTACGTGTAGATATTCTAGCTGCTAGATTCCCAAACATTATCAAGCCTTTTATTTAACAGACCTATTGGGAAATTTATCGAATCTTTATATGTAGATCCATTTTCCTACTTGGTAAAGCCGATAATTGGATTGATAATTTAGATTATCTGCAAAATAGTGAAATTTGTTATACGTCACAGTATTTAGTGATTTGATAAATTTTAAAAAAAAATGGTTCGTCAAAGAAGGAACGGATCAAATAAACAAGCTTCCAAATCGTCACCGAATACACAACAGGATGTAAAAAAGGAAAGCATTCTTTCTTCAAGGAAATCTAGTGGTTCAAAAGGAAACACAGCATTAGAGAAAAGACCGGCGAAATCGCAGTTACCACGGGAAGAAGAGGATAGCGAAGAAGAAATAATACTTCCAAATGTTGATATTGACCTGCCTTCTGATGAGGAGCAGGAAGAAGAGAGTGAAATTTTGAGTACGGATGAAGAAATAGATCACCCTGATCTGAGTACAGAGGAGGAAAAAGAAACAACAGGTGATTCGACCGAAAGTGAAGAGGATTTGAAAACTTTAAACATTGCATCGGATGAAGAAAGCGAGAATGACGATGGATACATAGTGGGGGACAGTTTGGACGAGGATGAATTAGACGACATGGAAAACATGAAATTAACGGATGATAATAATAATGACAGCGACCAAGGGTTAGCTAACTTTCAAGTGATAGTACCTCGAATGCACTCGACATATTTCTAATCTAGATGATTAAATATGAATCAGAAAGACTCAAGAACAATACATTACTGGGGCTAACGGTTACCCTAGAAGATTGTTACCGGAGATCGATCCCGTTTACGATAGTGATTCGTCGACTGAAAATGTATGATAACAATTTTGAAATTGAGCTTGACATTTAGATTTGTTTAATGAACAAGCTTTACAATTTTTGTACTAGCCAACCAATACGGTAGGCAATATTCCTATGGAATGGTATGACAATTTTCCACATATCGGGTACGATATTGACGGCAAGAAAATAATGAAACCTGCGAGGGGAGACGAATTGGATAAATTTTTGGAAAATATGGAAGATCCAGATTCTTGGTTTATATCATATTTCATTTGCTTAATTGCTTGAGTTTTGCGCAAATGATATATTTAAACATGATCTAACCCTCGCAGGATATCAGTCAAGGATGTTTTATCACAAGAAAATGTTAAATTAACAGATGAAGAGTTGAACATCATTCATCGAATTCAATCGGGTGAATTTCCGGATTCTAATTATGATCCATACGAACCAACCATTGAATGGTTCACAAGTAAACCCGAGAAAATGCCGGTTAACTCGACAGCTGAACCAAAGCGAAGGTTTGTTCCCTCAAAATGGGAGGCAAAACGTGTAAGTCATTATCATTCCAATTTAAACTAGGTTTTTAATTATAACACTGTTCTTCATGGTTCATCACGAGTGCTTCTATTCATTAGATCATGAAAATAGTACAAGCTATTCGACAGGGACGTATTGTTCCCGGAAGAGTTCAAGTGCAAAAACCTCGTTATTATGATCTATGGACGGACAGCGATCAACCGCGTGAAGATCATGTTATGCATATAACCGCCCCCAAAATGAAGTTGCCTGAACACGACGAAAGTTACAATCCACCAGAAGAGTACTTACCAACAGAACAAGAAAAGGAAGAATGGGAAAATATGGATCCCGATGACCGGGAAAAAAATTACTTACCCAAAAAGTATAAATTCAGACCATTATTTTCGATGCGCCTTGTGTTATTCTTATATATTATCAATCTATTTAATCACAGATACTCGCATCTCCGAGAAGTACCAGCATATGGACGTTTCATTCAGGAACGTTTCAACAGATGTCTTGATTTATACTTGGCCCCGCGTGTGCGAAGGAACAAGGTTATCTATAATCCCTATTACTCGTTAAATTTCCTTATCTTATTGTATCGCAGGTTCATGACCATTTTTCTTGTCCTTATTCTTTTCGTAGCTTAACATTGATCCCGACTCTCTAATTCCCAAACTACCTAATCCGAAAGATCTCCAACCTTTTCCAACATCATTCACACTTTCATACAATGGTCATTCCGGTCGTGTACGTAAATTCTCTATTGATCCCACCGGATTATGGATGGTTTCAGCTTCTGACGATAAAACTATGAAGATGTGGGAGATCACAACGGGTCGATGCGTCAAAACCTGGGAGGTAAAAGAGACGGTGTACTCTGTAGCTTGGTGTCCTAACAAGGATGTCTGGGCGTTTGCAGCTTCTTTGTAAGTTTTTTCTTTTCGTGTTCTAAATGATCTCAAAAAATATTCCGTATTGATTGACGTTAATTTTCATTGTTAAGCTTAAACAATGTCGTTATTGTTTCACCGACGAAAATTTCTGATGAGACAATATTCGATAATACCGTTCAATATATTACGTCGGCCTTCGCAAATATTGGAGATAATGGTATTTCATCATTGTTATGCGTTGGAGTTCAATGGTAGATATTCTATAACATTAAGAATTTATTTGTATTTAGAAAAGAGGGATAAATTGGTAGAATGGTTAAAACCAACGGAAAGTCAGAAATCGGAAGGATTTCTTGTAATTTTGCAGCACAAACACAACAAAGTAATTAATAAGTAAACCATAAGAACCCGACATTACCAAACGATATTGTCATATCTGATAATTCATTTTTTCATATATTGACTAGACCATTAAAAAAATTACCTGGCATCGCAAAGGAGATTACTTTTCTACTATTGCATCCGATGGTAACTATAGAAAAATTATTTGTGATGTTCGTTTGATGAAATAAATAACATCTCTTTTCCTAAAAAAAAAAAAAAAGCGTCCAACCAATCAATATTGGTCCATCAGCTCTCAAAGCATCAGACACAACAACCTTTCCGTAAAACTCGAGGCATGGTTCAAGACGTAATGTTCCATCCTATAAAGCCATTATTTTTCGTTGCAGTATGTATGAACCTTTTATCCTTACGTGATATCTATTAATAATAGTAACCTCTAACATTTTTTTTGATTTAGACTCAAAGGTTTGTGCGCGTGTACAACTTAATGAAACAAGAATTAACAAAAACATTACAGTCTGGTGTAAAATGGATTTCAAGTTTGGATATCCATCCAATGGGTAAATTATTATTTTTGCCTCCTAGGAATAGCGAAAGAAAACTTATTTTTGCTCTGTCAACTTCTAGGTGACAATGTTATTATCGGAAGTTACGATAAACGTTTGTGCTGGTTCGATTTGGATCTTTCTTCGAAACCATACAGGACTTTACGGTTAGGCATTCTGCGATGTTTACACCTTTTTATTTTACAATGCTTCAATGATTCTCATATATATATATCTATCTATATATCGAACTTTAGTTTTCACACGAAAGCCATTCGTAGCGTTGCATTTCACAAACGCCTACCAATCTTTGCATCTTGTAGCGATGATGGAAACATACACATCTTTCATGGTATGGTCTACAACGATCTAATGCAAAATCCCCTAATTGTACCAGTAAAGATAATGAGAGAGAGTCATCAAATAGTAGAAAATTTAGGTCAGTTTTGGAATCAAGTTTATTTTTTTATTTAAGAACCAAGGATTTATTTCTTTTCTTGTTTTTTAGGTGTTTTGCATTGCGAGTTTCATCCTGTACAACCTTGGATAATATCCTCAGGAGCGGATCATTCAATAAAGCTGTGGACATGATCCAATTTTTTTTGATTATCAAATTGAAAATTATATCAAATAATTCATTTATATCAACTAAAAAACATTAATTCGACGCGAGAACTCATTCCCTTCGGTGATGTCGATACAACATACACTTTAATCTTTCTCCAGATTAATTGCTTTGCCAAACTTTCCATATAAAAGACTTTTCAGTTTTCCCATCTGATCAGTTAAAGAATCCATTTCTTCTTTGAATTTATTCAATTCTTCCAATATCAAATTTTGATCTCGTTCGATACGCTCCTGTGCTTGCTCCAATGGGATTGAAATGAAGGCGTCACCGATTTTGTACCTTCGTGGTATCAAAATTATCATATCCCATAAGAAACTTGATCCAACATTCAATAATTGCAAAAATTGACGAAAAATTTACTTGACAAGTTCAGTCTCATCAGCAAGTTCGAGCTCGGATGCTAAATCGTCTAGAAATTCCTTTTCTTGCTTTATGCCCAAGAAGCAATAATTAGTGACAAGATAAAATCCAATCAGTAATTATTAAATCTCAAACCGGCTAGTGAAATATTTATTTTAATTTGTATATATATATTTTTTTCAAAGCGTTACCTATATTACCTTCTTCGCTTCATACATTTCCTCTAAATCTGAAAATTTCGAATTCAATTTACTGAAAGAATTTATGTTCTGCTGATCTTCCCAAGTGACTTCTGCCTCCACTTCTTCGTCTTGAGTAAGCTAAGGAAATAAACTCGCATTTCAAGCATTCTCCTATGATAACTAAGATAATACCTCATCTATTCTTTTTTTTGAATGCACTCACCATCCGCATTTTAAGGATGATTTTTTAAGGAGAGTAAATGTACGTACATAAACGGTTAACACGTACAAAAGGTCTATCTTTATCAACTAATCTACTAGCCTTCATGGGCAGGACGTGTGTTGCGCCAATAGGAATTTTTGTCTAAATTCTAAATCCGAGCTCCATATAAGCGCCCGATTTATCTGGAGCATTTTTCACATTACCGATTGATCTCTACATACAATGGCGTTCAGAATTACTTTGACTGAAGGAATTGTGGGAGGATTCAAACCTGCTACGATAAGGTATTTTCAAAGTATATGCGGAGTACGGGAATGATAAGTGATAAGTGAAAATATTAATCACCTATCGTATAAACCAGACGCATGATTAGTATAGCTGATGAAAATGGTGAGGTGATTGTTCGTTCTTCAACTCTCAAGAGTCGAGATGATTACAATGTTATGCAAGGTACATTAACAAGGTAACAATTCAAAAAAAAAATGTTTTATTTTTTTCTTTCTTGACTGTCAAATGTTTGAAGATTTTCTGTAATTTCAAAGTCAACAAGTTGGAACTCTGGTAAACGATTTAAAAGTCGGTCTTAATGATCTTCCAACCGAAATGACTAGTGGTGGCCAGGACATTTATGGAATGGACACTTCGATTAGCTTTCAATCGAATGATTTCGAGTGGCGCAATGGTATAGGATCAAGTATAATTTACTGTTTTACTACTATCAAATCAGTTCTAAAATTTGGATGCTGATGTACACAATAGGAGGGTCGGGAGGATGCACTAATGAAGAGTCCGAAATTCAACCAACACCTGTGCAAAAAGCTTTATTCCAAGAATTGGTGCAAAAAATCTTGTCAATTAGTCAACAGTACGCCGTGCAATCAGTGAGTAGTGGATGAATAAATCATGAACCTGCGTAAATTAAACCACGTCTGTTGTTATAATAAAGATTTCTTCATATTACTGAATGATTATTATAACTGTTAAGAAAATTATTTAAAAAATAATTTATTTTATAATGAATAAAAATACTAGGATTTTCATCTATAAAATTCCCTTTAAAAAACCTCGATCAAATGACGCATTACTTATGAGTAGTTTAATCAAAATTCAGTCTCAGTCTCAGTCGCAGTCGCAGTCGCAGTAAATAAACTAAAGAACTTGACAAGCAAAAACTTTACGAGCAGTTTAAAATGGACAAGCTATTTCAGTGGTCGGTGGAAAACAGCGAATCGTCGAATGAGACACCACAAACTTTAAACAACTTAGTAACTGTCTTTCTTATATATAATTATACTCGCTGGTTATAAACAATAAACATTACACTCTGAAAAAAAAATATAGGATCCCGAAATTATTGATCATATATTGGGAAAAAGCGATGCTGTGCGAATGAAAGGTAATTAATTCAATAAAATATTTGGATTTCACGATACTTTTGTTATCATTTTTAATTTAAAATGCGCTCAATTGTAAACAGAGATAGTTGAAATCGTATTAGATCCGAAAGAAACCGTAGATAGTAAAGAAAACGCGCTTGATGATTTGGAAATGGTATGTGTACCATAATAATTATTGTCAATAAAAACCTTCCTTTACTGAAAACCTGTATTTTGTTTATTGGAGCTTGTAGAGCAAATAGATAATGCTAACGGTGGGTTGCTGTAGTTAAGATACATTCTCAAGATCTGCAATCATTAACATGTAAATTCATTACAGACATTGAAAACATGAATTTATGGCCGAAAATTCTTTCATTCCTCTCACTTCCCGAAGCGTCGCTCCGAAAACATGCCATATGGGTATGTGGTACTGCTGTTCAGAATAATATTCGAGCGCAAAAGGCCGTATGTAATCATTGATATGAATATTATTTCATGTAGTTGGTGTGGTAGCATGTGTTTAATAATATCTTGTGAACATAGTTCACGGACAAGGGTGGGCTTAAAATCTTGATGGACATTTTGAAGGACTCCCATCAAGACGATGAAGTCAGAAGTAAAGCTCTGTACGCTATTTCCGGTAAGTCATAACCCGGTTATTTGTTCATTATTGATCTATCTTTTATTAAAATTATTTTGTTTTTTTTAACAAAGGGACCATCAAGCATAACGCACCCGCGTTGGCACAATTCGAGAAAGATGGGGGCTATGATGTATTATTATCACTATTGGCGACTTCTGATGGTATAATGGATTTTTGCTTTGTTGTGAGTTTTCAAAAAGTCTGTACTTAAAATTTTCATGAATAAAATACATCCAGACCTCTCGATACTTCGCAAGACAGTATTTCTCTTCAACACCTTATTAATTCAAGATCCAACCGTAGCAACAACACAAATAAAAGAGAAATCAATTAACAAACAATTTATTAATTTATTGAATAAACACGGTTCAGGCGATGAAGATTTGGTCGATAAGGTATGGTTTTATTATGGAGATTGATTGTATGACCCCTTAAAAAATATCTTATATTAAACCATTCACAGATATTTCGGACTTTTCTTGCCGAGTTTCAACATTCATTGTCTCTCACTGAAGATGAAGTTAATGAACTAAAAAACATTCTACCAGTAATGAAGAAAAAATATGGTGATAATTTCTTAAGTTCTACAGAATGGGCAGAACTAGAATCAAAGATCCAATAATGTGTGCCAAATCTATGTTTAATCACAAATTTAAATTCAATGTACTGGTTAATTGTTGATCTCCAAATTTCACTGTAAACATTGCATTAAAAAATCACAGTTACTTGGTTGTCGGAAGCTTTTTAGTTAGCATTTTAACTATGAAAACTTTTGTCAAATAATCTTGGCTGCAAATTCATTCAACGCGTACTTTTGGTTTGTTGCTCCAAATAAATTTTATTGGTTAAATTTGTAGACCCGTTTATAAAAATATTTTAACATACAGTATAATCAGTTTGAAATTCCTTAATCTTTTTTTTATTTAATTAATAAATAATATAACTAATTTTTATTTCATTATTATTTTACAAATTTGTCAGTAATAATATTTATTTATCAGAAAAAACAATAATGACTTCAACATTAATTAAATAAAAATATTATACAGTATAATTACTGTATACAATTAATATAAAACAACTTGCATCTGTAAAGATCTCTAAAAGTGAAGTGATTTGCAATTAATTTTTTATATATTTGATACATTTTTTTAAAAAAATATATTTAAAATGCTATAACGAAATATTTTGATAATATGCAGATTTAATAATACTTGTTTTAAAAAAATAGATTAAGTAATTTAATAGAAAATTAAATAATTTCTTTTTTTAATAAATATTTTAACTTGTCAATTAATTAATTTTTTATCAAAAAATATTCAAAAAGAACATACAGTATTTTTATATATAAATGAAATAATCAAATTTAAAATATTGCAAAATAAATGTTTTAAATTATAATAATTGAAATTTAAGTTTAAAATATTTATTAAATATTATTATTTTAAAAACTTTTAAAAAACCTGTTTTTGTTTTTTTTTTTTCAAGTGCAAAGATACTAGTAGCACATGATCTTTTATTGAGTGATTTATGTTCAATTATATGACTACAAGATTCATTTAAGTTAACCTGCCCTCCACCTATAACCTTATCCAGTTATATGAGTTTATCATCACAGGTGTAAGCCCACACATCTGGATGAGATCTTTAGAAGGTAAAAATATTACTACTAACTTATAAACTATCTAACCTAATTTAGAGCCTGGCAGTTGTTATTGGAAGTATATACCTTTCAAGATTGGTTAGAACATCCAGATAACCCATTCAATACTCTTCACTTGAAACCTTGAAGAAGATATTATACTCGTTGTCACTACCTGCAACTTCTGTTTATATAACAAATCGTCCAATCTTCTTTTAAGCAAGTGCTGGATTAGAATAGTTTCAAGTTAGAATATTCTTTTTGTGTGATGGAGTCTGTCATCGTCAGTTTGGGTTAGAGTGGACTTTTTATTAAAGTTAGACCAAAAGCCTTTCCTCATGTAATCTTCCATGCTTTAATCTGATTTTAGCTTGTGATCGTCAGAAAAACCAAAGGTCCCATCTTCATGCAACCTAACTAAATTTGGAAATAGATTGTTGGTTAATTGGGTATGACATTAATCGGAAGTCGGTCAACCAATCATAAAGGTAATAAATTTTTGTAATCAGGTAAGATTGAACTCTAAATCTTCTCCTGGTAACTTATAGAGCACTACTACTGTACTATAGACCTATAATTAAAAAACCTGTTTGTTTATAATAAATAATATAATAAAATATAATAAAACAACACAAAAAACTTTTTTTTTTTTATATATAAATATTATATCTTTATTATTATAAAAATTTTAAGTTATTTTACATATAAAAAATGAATAACATCTCTTATATAATCAATTAATTAGTAAGTCTAATGTTAACTTGCCTATAGAAATTATCTAAGCAATAAAAAAATATTAATATTAAAATTGATATATATTTAAAATAGTACTAAGCATCTATGAATATCTACTCAAATAATAATTATAAAACTAATTTCTTATATATATCCCTTAAATCGTAGGGCATTTTTTTTATAATGTTTAAAATTTTTTAACTAAAAAGTTGCTTTTCATTTATTTTTTTAAAGAATCAAAATATTTTTCTAAAAATTTATA